ATTTGAGCTTCTTTAAAATACTTTATTTTCATCGTTATATATATTGAAAGTATCGGCAATGCTGATAATCAAAAGAAAACGTGTAATAAGAAGACGACAGCCAAACTATAAACAATGACACAGCAATATTTACTCTTGTACCGTCTTTGCTTTAATAATACTTTTCAGATGGTGATTGCGGATGCCATCCACATTTGTATTTAGAACATAAATCATCATTGGAAATGAATTGATCAAAATATTTTAGTCATTATATTAGATATATAAACACATATATAGATCTATAAATCAATGAGCATCATGTTTAAAAAAAAGCAATCTCTAATTCATTTTTATGTGAGTATAAGATTTTACACTCTAAATATCTTCTTCCATGTTTTTTATCATTTCGTCTAGCTTCGTATCAGCAAGAACGGTATTATTGATGAATTAGCTTAAATCAACATCTTTAACACAATATTTACAATATAAACTCTCCCAAGGATAAAAATATAATCCTTATTCAATTGTTTCTTTTTCTTCTCTCTCTCTTCTATGATTGTCTATGACCTACTATGTCATTATATGACTAGAAAAAGTAAATTATATTTGTATAAATATGCTATATTTTAAAATATCAAATAAAAATTTAAAAACCAGCTCTAAATCGTTTATTTTTCCACATAATTCATAACACGTGATATTCCGGTATCTATTTCATAGACACCATCATCAGACAAAGAACTATTAACATAAACTATTCATACATCTGTATCAAATTTATTATAACCTAATATACTGTGTGTAAGATAATGCATTAACACATTAAAAGAATAATAAATTAACTCATTAAAAGAAATAAATGAACATTTCATTCCTGTATTTGAATCATATTATAGATAAAATAATTCTTTTGTCTTTTAATATCATCTATATTCATGCACAAGGAAAAAAGTGCTGTATCATTACATTTTTTGTCTTTCTTATTGCCTATCTCACAAGGTACTACTATTGTATGTTTGATTGATGCAATTTTCATTATTCTTGACAGTTTGAATGATCATTTATCTCATTATCTAACCATTTCAAAGTGTAATCAACAACAAAAGAAATAATGCTATTATAATAACTAATCATCAATTGCTAAAAATAAGGTGTTTGTTTTGCACCATAGATTGTTAGGTGAAGGCCTATTGAAATGTTTTTTTTGAATCCACTGAATTCTCTTTAATATTTTAAATTTATTTTCACGTACACAAGCTATTTAATTTTAACAAAATTAAGAAAAAATTGTACAAAAATACATAAGATGGACTTACTAGCATTTCTTACAATAAATAATGATAAGCTTACGCGATGAGAATGATAAAATAATTTGCAAAGAGCCAATTTTTTTCTTCAAATAAATATTCGTGAAAATATTTGATTGTTACCTGACGAGATATCAAGTTCACCTTTAGAAATTTGAATTTTCGTCCTAACATTTGATTAGCATATGAGTGTCGTATTTTTGCCAGTACTTTAAACAAACCCTAAATTAGCAAAAAATTAAATAAAGATGAAAAAAGTGTTTGATTTTTTATCAAACATACCGCATCTTCACCAAATATTTTATCAAGTGGTGAATATGTATTTGTGACGCTAAATATTATTTAATCAAATTTAAATGCTATTTGATAAAAACTAATATCATAAGTTTTAACTGCATCATGTTGTTTCTTTCTATATCGGATTTCAGCAACCTTTTCAAAAGCTTTATCAAAATTTGTAATCATAAAATTTAGTGAAAATTCTATTTCTCGATTGAGATGTTGTTGAACTTATTAAAAAATTATCCAACGGTCGATGGATCATTTGATCAATTGATGCAGTAGTAAGTTGTGAATGATTTGTATTCGATAGAGACAATATCAGTTTGTCTTGCAAATCAACATCATCATGCTCACTATTCATATTTGAAATGATTAAAATATGATAAATTATTGGATTGATATGAGTGAAATTATTGTATAAGCATATCAGATTGTTTTTCATTTAATGTCACAATTGTATTAAAATGGAAAAATAGGGCATAATCAGTAAGTTGTATAAATGAATAAACACTTACTTATTATTTCAATAAACCCTTTATCTGTATTAATAGATAATACTTCTTCTGTAGATGAAGAACTCAACTTTAATAACGATAAACAATCAAACATCTCATGGACTAATTTCACAGAACCACAAATTTCGTTTAAATGCTACCGTATCGTAACAATTAACAATTAATCTCCATTCTTTTCCAATATTAATAATGTATTTAATTTCCACAGATAATAATACTTCTTCTCCACATAATAAATAGAAAACAAAAAATCATCAATACTCTATTTAACGTTGTATAGAGTTATCATAACTGAATAAATAATCATTAGATAACGCATTTGGCATCATTTTTTAAACTTTGTTGTTCATCATGTACGAGACTTACCATTAATACCATTAGCTTTTGATACATTTTCGTCCATTAGTCCCATCAACATTTATGAAACAAATTGTACATTACTGTATACGATCCACAGACATTCACAAAATCATCAAAAATGCAAAATTGAATAAACAAAATTATCAATAGATAGAATGCTCATAATCCTAAAAAAATATGAACAAAAGATATTCCATCGAATTCAAACACGATAATACGACGACGAAGACGACAAAAAATGAAATCGAAATGAACAAGAGGAAAATAAAAGATCAATGTACCAAATACAATCATACAAAAGTAGAAATATTGAAGATAGAATGAAATAGATAAATAAATAGCTAATGGATAAAAAGAATTATTGACACTTTCATAATACGTATATGAGTCTTCTTTTTGAGAGAACAAAGGTTATAAATATTTGAAGAACAGGCAAGTGTAATGCAACAATTATAAATCTTTCTATGCTATATATTTAGATCGAGGTGCGTCAAGTCACTCTTCTGTTGATATCAAAAAGAGATCGTTAACAGACATGAATAATGACGTCATCATTGTTTTGACAGAGCAATTATATTAATGTTGAACATTCTTGTTTCTTTTATAGCGGTTTTAATGTTTTCATATTAATAGTATATAAAAACTAAATTATAATATATATACAAATCCACTCTGTGATTTAATTCATTTAAATGGTGCAGTAAAACGTACAAGAGTCATTAAATTTAGAAGTGAAACATCTTTGCATTTGATCACAATACGAAATTTGTGATCAATAAGATTAATTGATCTTCTAAAATAGTTTTAAGAAACATGTAATTAATTCAATAATTTTCTTCAAATTGAAATTGGTTTTCGAATTTTCTTTCCAACCAGTATTGATTTTTCAATTTTTAGAAAATCAATTTTTTCAACAATCAAATTGACTTGCTATAATTTGGGAGATCGACCATTTTTTGAATATTTTAAATTCGAAGAGTCAGTAATGAAAGTTTCATAATAATGTAGCTTTGTTAAAGTCTAATGTATAAAAAATAGAATTTAAAAATAATTTACAATGCATGCACATGGAAAAAACATGTGCTGCATCATCACATGTTTTTTTTTCTTTCTCACTGCTTATCTCACAAGGTATTGTTATTGTGCATTTGATTGATACAATTTGCATTTTTCTTGATAGTTTTAATAATCATTTATCTCATTATCTTAGCATTTAAAACTGTAATCAACGAAGAGGGAAATTAACTATCGTTTAAAAACTAGCTGTTCAAAAATGTCCTCCACGCTGTAAGGTTGAAAATACTTTATAGCGAAAGAAAAAAAGACTTTAGAAATGTTCATACCACTTCATCTATGAATTTTATACTTCCTTGAAAATACAACACTCAAGAAAATAGAAATAAGAAATTTGATTTTGTAATTAGAAAATTGAAAACGAATTTGTATCAACTTTTCTTGAGTCTCACGTTGAACTTATCTATTGAAGCGTTTTTGAAACATTGGAACATCAATTTCCATTTTATAGCTATTTGTTTTTTATGTATTCTCTTTCATTTTCAAAATATATAATGCCCAAAAAATAACTACAATCCGATTAGACAAAATCAGTTAAAAGACGAATAACAATAGAAATAAAAAAATAAGTTAGTTTTTAACAAAAACAAATAACTAAGCAAAAATACACAAAATAATTTATCCTGATATGTTTATTGCATCATTGAATAAGAATCAATTGTTTTCTATAATAAACAATGATAAAGTTAAGCAATAAAAATTATATAATAATTTGAAAATAATCAATAGGTTACTTTTCTGATTTAATCATAGTTTTTCTGAGTGTTTTTAACGTTTTATACTTAAATGGTCTAATATGAAAACGATTGCTCTTTGAAAATGAAGAGATTATTATAGAAAGATTAATAAAATGTATTATCTTCAGTAATACTTTTTTCTTTGATGATTCGAATATTTGACTAATTTTGTATAACTAGATTTTAATGCTTGAATACTGTCTTCAGTAAATGGATCAGAACGAAGATTGATTTCACGAATCACCTATTCATAGAAAAAACAAAATAAAATAAATGTATATGTGATATTGAGATTATATCAATTTCTTTGAACGAAAGATTCAAACTCAGCAATATTTCAGTGAATTATTAGTTGATCAAAAATAATACATGTTCTAAGACTTACCGATCTGGTCACTGATAAAGTTGGATATAATTAGGCAATTTTTTTCGTTGGTTTCAGCGCTTCAATAACACGTTGATGATGTACATATGTAGCAGTGATAGAATCGGTTGGTGTTTTCCTTGAATCGGACCGAACCGAATAGAATAAAATTCAAATATATTAAGACTCTTGGCAAGTTATTGTATGAATGATTGAAAAGAATACCATTCACTGTATCTGATGATGATTTTGAGTACTTTTGTGTAATAATGTTACCAGTAAAACTGAACTCGCGTTCAACAGCTGCCCTGGTAGCTAGTACAGTTAAAAAATGAGTAGCAACCATCGCCACAATAGGATAAGAAACATGTTTCATCTTTCAAAATGATAATCGATTATATTCTTCATTTTCTTGACCAGAATTCATTAGTGATGTCATTTTATCTGCACCATGCTTAAAATGCAAATCAATTTCGAGTGTATGTGATGAAGCTTTTGACGAACCATGTTGATCACCATAATCTTCGTCATCAATTTCTAGATTAAAATAAAAATCTGTCCTATATATAAATGAGATATTTGTTGATAATGAAACTGGTTTTTGGTTTGGAGATGATTTAACATGCTGATCAACATCAAAAAGCTACATTTCTGATTTTACATATTCAATACGTTCTGCCCTTTGTCTTGCTGACGAATCCTTCATTCTTCGTGTTTTAGGATTGAAGAAAGTTCCAATGAGATGTATGGTATCGAAAGAAATCATTTCTTGGATTACTTGTCTTGCTCGTTGACAGAAATAAACCGATGCCTGTGAAAAAAAATTATTTAAGCAAAGTACATAAAGAAAAATTGAAATCATAAACCTTTTTCTTAATTATAATCATTTGACCTTATTTCTAATGAGGAATTTATTACAAATATACTTGGTGCTACCGTATGTATTGCTGATACTCGCGATGATTGAGTGCGTTTTATTACATGAGTCCATGGTCTTAAAAAATCAATTATTTTATCGAACATAAATGAACTTATTAATTCATTTCTTGTTAAAATTTTTTTCATTAAATATTTCAAGTAATGGATTTAAGGATTTTTGGACACTTTCCACAAAGTTATATAAAGAAAGCCATCTGACAATTGTATTTTGGATCAGAACAGCAGCCTCTAGTTCTTCGAGTTCTTAACTTAAATTGACCTAAAAGAAAATTACATTTTTTATTGACTCCTTTTTTGTAAAAAAAACAAACATCATACAGAACATATTCAATGGATATCATTTTATGAATCTTTTAAAGCATCTAGATTTTTGAATTAGAATTTTTTTCCTAAAAGTTTCACAGAAAAAAAGTTCTAGTCGAAAAGTTTAGAACCCTTAAAAGATTCTTAAAATGGTATCCATTGACAAGGTTCTATCTAGTAAGAATTTTGTAAAAATGTTCACATGTTCTATTTTCTCTGAGTTGGCAATAAAAGGTCTTGATATTGAATTTATCTAATTTATATTTCAGCAACTTTTTGCACTAGATAATAGTTACTAAAACATGTTTTGCATCTGATGGTAATTGATCAAGAATAGTGATGACATTGTTTCGGCATGATGTTGTAGAGGAATAACTAACAGATATAATTTTCTTATCAACTAATTTCTTCATCACCGCAAGAGCTATCATCTTCTTCGCTGTTACTTCCATTAATTTGATTATATTCATCCTCAATTGAATCAATATAATAATCCTCAAATGCTGTATCTTTTTCTGCCTTATTTATTTCGGCTTGATAGAATGTTCTCTTCTGATTACTTCTTCTATCACATATCAATACTATATCAAATACAAATGATTGCAAACAATCGGGGGGACAATCACTTTTCAATCACCTAGATAATTATATGGAAATCAAATTTTATTTGTAGTAAATGACAAACTTACTTGAATTAGATTTGCCACAGTTTTACTAGACTTTCTGTACACTGTAAACTAGAAAATAAGTTATAGAGTTTAGTGAAAGATATTCTAGGAATGTCCATATGAATTCATCGATGAATTTTAAATTCTTTGAAAATGAGGTATTTGAAACATTCAGAACAAGAAATTTGATTTTCTAATTAGAAAATCGCAAGTGAATTCATATAGGCATTCCTAGAATTTCGGATTCTATTCAGCAATTCGAGTATTTTTTAAAAACTCGAAAATCGAATTTTCTTTTCATCTATGAACGTAAAATTCATATAATAACAAACAAATAATTTGAATTTAAATTGAAATAATATTCTAAATAATTAAGTCATATAAATGCACCAAATAATATGAATAAATAATTTGAATTTAAATTGAATAATATTTTAAACATTTAATTCATAAAAATACATCAAATATAATAAATAATAAATTTAAATTGACATTTAAATTATATTTGACATATTTAATTCATATAAATGCACCAAATAACATGAGTAAATAATTTAAATAGTAGCATAAACATTTAATTCATCTAAATACATCAAATAACATGAATAAATAATTAGAATTTAAATTGAACAATATTTTAAACATTTAATTCACATAAATGCATCAAAATAACATAAATAAATAATTTAAATTTGAATTTAAATACTATTCTAGACATGTAATTCATAAAAATTGCATCAAATAACAAATAAATAGTTTGAATTTAAATACATACTAAATGAACTGACTTACAGAGCAACTTTAAAAATACAAGTTATCAACTCACGAGTTACCTGCTAAATAATATAATGAATGAAAAACATTATCGGCCGGCTTATATACGTGAATTAACAATGGCTCGATAGCAATCATTGTTCAGATGATCTTTTCAAACCAGCATTGATTTTCGAGTTTTATTAAAATCAATGTTGATGTTTTATTTTGTAGAAAATGATTTTCTTCGAAAATCAAGCTCAATCTCTGTAAATTGGAAAATCAAGAATTTTTGAAGTATTGAAAATTTGTCGAATGAACCATAAAACCTCAAAAATGCTTCAGCTTATTTAAAATCGATTTTCCAAATAATAGAATTTTAAAAAAAATTTACAGTGTACGATAAACAAGCGTTGTTTTTTGTCGACGCGGTTTGTTATTCGTCTATGCAAATTTCTAATCAGAAAAATATTAAAACTATCTTTATAGCAAGCGACATCTGATTGTAACCTGAATATTTCTTTTGATGTTGTTTTCTTTAATATAAAAAAAGAATCCACAAAACGAAAATAACCATAGCGGGTATAAACGATTACGAACCAAATCGAACTGATTCCATCTCTGATATGTAATATCTATTTTAACTTTAACTTGATCATGATCATAATTTGTTGTATTAATTAAAACA